GTGCGCGAGCGAGAGAGAGAGAGAGAGAGAGAGAGAGAGCGAGCGAGCGAGCGAGCGAGAGCGAGAGTGAGAGAGAGAGAGAGAGCGAGTGTAGGCGGCTGTTTCTCCCATGATGCACTGCTGTCAGTCATCTGAACTCCAGTGGGATGTTTAACGCTGCGTTTGATGATGAAGGTCTGGCTCTCACCTGTGATCAGATACTGGTATTTGTTGATGTCGAACTTGACTCCACACATGCTCTCGGAGTCGTGTGTGTAGATGTACTGCACGTGCTGGATCTTGTCGAAGCCCTTGTACATCTGCAGCAGACAAAACACACACACACACTGAGGAATCATGGGATCTGCGTCTGTGCAGGAAGGACTCTGATTCGTGTGTTTAGTTTAGCCTGACATAGAGAGGCCGGTTTCATAGACGTTCATTAGAGGTGACATATCGTGAAAATCTGACTTTTCCAGGTTGTAAGTGCTATAATCAGGTCCCCGGTGCATCTACCAACCAGGGAAACGTGAAAAAGATTAACCCAGTAACTTTGTTTTGGTAAGCTTTTTTCTGCAAGCATCTGAGAAAACGAGCACGTCTGATTTCTCTCCCTTGGTGACGTGGCAAAGGGATCTCATGTCAGCCGCTTTCTGTGCGTGTGCTTCGGATGTGTGCGCTCAGAAAACCGTATATCAGAAGTTTAAACTCATATGGTTTAAAACGCATGATTTCAGCGCGATAAACATGATAATCAGAACCAAAACAGATGTTTTTAGCAGGTCCGAGCTGTAAAGGCGCAGCTCTATTCTGGAAAAGGTGGCGGGGAGCAGCAGCTCATTTGCATTTAAAGAGACAGGCTCGAAAAACAGCGTGTTTCTGCTTCCACTCAAAATAGGCATTTTCAAAATGATATAATAAATGATCTGTGGAGTATTTTGAGCTGAAACTTCACAGACACATTCTGGGGACACCAGAGACGGTATTACATATTGTGAAAAGGGGCATAATATGTCACCTTTAACATGATCTCATGCTGCAGATCTGGTGTGTTGTCTGTGTGATGATGGACTGACCTTCATCTGTTTGACGGTGTACCGCAGGGTGCCAAACGGACCGTCGTTCAGCAGCTTCTTTCCCACTACTTTAGCCCTGATCACTGCAAACACACACACAAAACCCGCCGGTTAAAAAAGAGCACAGCAAGGCATCATGGGAGCATCAAAACGAAGGCTGCACAGATAAAATAATCCTAGAATGCATTGTGACGAGTGGAATAAAACATCCAAGCTGGTCAGAACTTGAGAAGTGCATTATTAAATCTGCTTTTTATTGATTAAAAACAATTCAAATCATGTTACGAATGCAATCAACCAATATTTATGTGTGTGTGACCATATTGGCAATGACTAAAAACTACAAAAGGAATTTAAAAGATTAATATAATATTTAAAATTTATTTAAAATAAAAAACAATGTATAATTAAGTTCGTTTTATTTTTTAATATTATATTTTTAATAGTGCTGTTGCATCCAAAATACAAATTTTGTTTACATAATATATGTATGTGTACTGTGTATATTTATTACGTATATATAAATACACACACATAGAGTATATATATTTTTAAAATATTTACATGTATATATATTTATATTCTTATATTTTATATTATACATAAATATACTTAATATATAAACACAACATATTTTTCTTAAATATATACATGCATGTGTGTGTATTTATATGTACGTAATAAATATACACATATATTATGCAAACACAAACTTTTATTTTGGATGCGATTAATCGCGATTAATCGTTTGACTGCACTAATTTTTAAATATTTAAATTTTTCATATATCTGAATTTAAATATGTAAACTTTATTTAATAAATTTATTTTAATTTTAATATATTTTGTATAAAATATGAAAATGTACATATATATTTTTAGAAATATTTTTTAATATGTCTTTATAGTTCTTATTGTTTATTTTAGTCTTAGCTATTTTAGTGCTTCAGTTTAAAATAAATAAATGATGCTGTGGTTAGAAATGATGAGTAGCTGACATAAAATAAGCTGGAATGCTGCTTATCTTCCTCTGCCGGAATTTCCTTCCCGGAATTCTGTGAGGCTCACATTCCTGAGAGCAGAGGAAAAGTTCATTCCTGCTGACATTCAGCCGCATTTATTCACCTAATGCTGCTCTTTCACACACATCAGGGTCCAAAAACAGAAGAATCATCACCCAAATCTGTCTCATATGAGTTATTATTGTTTACTACAACTAAAAGCATTTAAAAAACATTTTATTATTTGAAATAAAATAAATGTTAACTGAAATAGATTAAAATTTAAATATAAAAAACATTTTATTTCAGCTAGTTGCAAAGGAAACACTTCTCATTTTCTCTTAGTTTTAACTTGAAATAAAAATGAATATGAATTATACAGATATAAACAAAACAAATACTAATAAAAATGACAAAAACACACAAAACTAAATTAAATTACTAAAGCTAAAATGAAAATGCAAAATATAAAAAACAAATCCAAAATATGAATCTAAAGCATTCTGATGCTCCTGAAGCATTCACAAAAAAATAAAATAATAATACAAATAATAAAAACAAAATTATTTTAAAAAACTAAAAAATTTAAACTTTAACTAGAATTAAAATGAAAATGCAAAGCTTAAATATTCCAAATATTAATAAAAACTATAAAAACTTTACTCAACAATGGAAAATACTTCTAAAGCATTTATTAGTTAGTATTTTAATGTTAATTTTAACATTTACTAATACATTATTAAAATCAAAGGTTTTATCTGTTAATATTATTGATGGACCTGAGCTAACATGAACTAACGTTCTGGGTAAAAAATATTGATATCTCGATATTAATCGATTCTCATTGTTACGGAACGATATCGATTCTTAAATCCCAAGAATGGATTAGTCTAGCCTGTTTTCAGTTAATAGACGGAACATTGAAGGGCACTTTGCATACAATAAATCGCAATAAGCATTGTGCTTTGGTACTTTTAATATGAAACAAAGTCTCAGATTTCAAATTCTGTCCATTGTATTGCAATATTCA